TTTACAATTCTGCACAATTTAAATGTTTAAATAAATAGTCTGTCAGTATGCAGATGTCACAACAGAGGTCATAACGTTGGTCATGACATTGGAACAATTTAAAGAAATTTAAATTCTTCATGATTTGTCCTCGTTCTTGTTTCAGCAGAGATCAATGTTCTTGAAACACATGAGATCTTTATACCAGAATTTCAGTATTGTAGTAAATTTAAGTGAGTTCTTGAAGTGTTTTGATGTGTCTAGAAAATTTCACATGACATTAGAACCAAGTAGACCCGAAAGAAGTAGAAGAAAAGTTGTTGTCATGAAAATGCAAAAAAAAATTCAATATACATGTTTTAATCGATTAACACATTTTTCCTAGCAAATGGTTAATTTATTAACACATTCAAAACTTGCCCAATTTGGCTTGAAACAAAGTGCTATGGCCATGGCTCTGATCTTCGACCCTTTGCTTTTATAAATAGGCATGAAAGCCCTTGTATTTTACATGTATTTATTATGTTATGATTTTGTGAGGATGCAATTAATCAGACTCTGAAATTCTGAATATTTTTGCAACACAACCACAGAGAAAAAATGTTGATGCATATGGCAGCAATGCGAATGTACATGCTTATGCAAAAAGGTAAAAAAGGAGGTCAAATTTCAAGTTACAACACAGGAGATGTTGTTGCTGCAATTATTAGAAAATGTCTAATAAAACTTTATAATGAAAAACTCATGTGGTATAGTGAGCTTAAAGTAAGCGAAAGAAGAAAAGAGAGAAATGCATACTTTGAACATTATAAAGTTAGGCACGTAATTTTTTTTTACTATAGTATGATGACAATGTATATTTGTTACAATTTAATCAACATTGTCTATTTTTTGACAGTGTCTTGTTCAGTGGTTGCCGCACGATGAAGCAAAAATGAAAGATTTGATTGATAAAGCTTGTGGTAAAAGAATAAGAGATATATTTGGTAAGATTAGGAAAAAGGCGACAAAACCATCTTAGATGGGTGAAAAGGTTTGTGCGTATCTTCTTGACGGGTGGAAAACTGAAGATTTCAAAAAGCTCTCTCAACAAAGTAAGACTAATCGTGCATCAACCAGAGGTGAGGCAGTCCATACCACAGGATGTAGAGCTCATCATGATGTTGCTATAGAATTGATGTGTATTGTATTTGTAATTACAATGCGTCAAGATATTTATATATGATATTCATTTTAATTTGTGTATATTTTTCCTTAAACATCAATAAGTTTTCTATTACCAATTCAAAATTTTGAGATATTTGGTTTATCCACCCTCTAAATAGTTATTGATCATGAGTCAAGTGATTGGAGAAACCATTATCCCATAGCCAACATTCACTTGAGAAATACTTGTAAAACACATTTCTACAAATAACTTCTCTTCGTCTTCTTCACTTCCAAATATGCAACCTAAACCTTGTTACTTTATTTAAAATTACTATTACACATTCTCTCGTGATGCCCTAACTTACTGCATTTTTCACAAGTTACATCATGTCTTCTCAGACATTTGAAAGAAATATGATCAAATTTTCTAAAATGCTAGAAAATTGTTATAACTTTCTTGTTTTCCTTTCCTTGTGCTATCTTATGTGAGTTATTGTTGGATTTTTTAGCAAAGAAAAAATTTCATAGTCATTCTTAATAGCTTCCCAATATGAATGTCTAAAAGTTTTTCTATTTGTTGATTTGAAGGTATTAAAACTTTTATGGTAGGTTTCACTTACAAGTTTCCATTAAAAAAAAGATTCTAGATACCAATTTATTGATGAAAACACATATGACTTACAAAAAAGAAGAAATAAACTATAATTGTTATTTAACAATCTTCTTTTAAACACAAAAATAATATATATATATATATATATATATATATATATATATATATATATATATATATATATATATATATATATATATATATATATATATATATATATATATATATATATATATATGACATTAAATATATGACATTAAAATATATTATTAAATGCTTGAGTCTTGCTATACAGCACGGGCTTCATTGTTGTACAATTATTGTGCATTTGAAAATTACACTAATAATGAAGAAAAATATATTCTTTATGCTTTATTATTGTATATTTCTTAATTTCACTAATAATTTATTAAACACGTGATTCTTGCAGTACAATATGGGCTTGTTTTGAAATATTAGTGTCGAATATCTACATATTTCTTTATGTAATAATGAAATAATGCAACATAAAATTATATAAAAAATAGTAGTTGGTGTTTTTTTCCAATCGAACTGTGGTATTTTGGATTGAACTCTAGCGTCACAAGGATAATTTCATGGTTCGACATGAATTGTGCATGTTGGACTCGAAGTCTATTCAAGCATACTGTTGAAATATATTAACTTGTAATTTAGGCTAGCATGTCTAATTTGACCTTGCTTGTAAACTCTATAGGTAAGTTAGCTTATAGCCTAAATTAGCTTAGTAGTCTATAAATAGACTATTTCTTTAAGGTATTGAGAGAAGTTAATTGTTGGTATTCAGTTATAATCTTTGAGTCCTTATTTAAAAAGTGAATAAAAAAATAGAGTTAAGAAATTCTTATTCTTCTTCTTCCTTCTTCTCTCCCTTTTGTAAAACCTAATAGAATTTCTTGTGTTTATTCAAGAAACTCAATCTTTTCTCATACTTTTGGTTTGTTCTTGAAGATATCAATTCAAAACAAACTACTACGGTGAGCGTGGAGGAAAAGATGTCGTTAACAAAGTATGAGATTGAAAAATTCACCGGTGTGAATGGTTAGGGATATCGCTAGGATGCACAGAAGAACCTATAATGCTGCAAACTTTGACAACACCTCTCAAGAAGTCTTTGAGTTCATTAAGCTATGTGATATCCTTTTGAAGGAGTTTATGGTCCACTTGAAGATCAACAATAATCAACATAATCGAATATGTAGAATTTCTGTTGTAGGTTGTAATTGTAAAAGCCTTAAGATTTCATAAACATTGAATATCTTAGAAATCTTAAGAGCTTCAGGCCTTTGTTATGTTGATTTCCCTGTACCTCTGATATTTGTATTATGTACACCTTGTTATATATTATGTTGAACAAGTTGTTTAGCAGTTTAGATTAAGTCTCTCGCCAAGATGCTTGAGCCGTGTAAGTCTCCTGCTAAGTGCTAGAGCATTGAAAGTCTTAATCAAATGGATTGATTGAGCAACTAAGTATCTCGCCAAGATGTTTGAGCCATGTAAGTCTCTTGCTAAGTTCTAGGGCAATGAAAGTCTTGATTTAGTGGATTGATTGAGTAGAAGTCTTGAATCTGTGAGATTTAAGCAAGGACGTCTCGGGTCTCGGGTCTGAGTAAAAGTCTTGAACCTGAGGGGTTTAAGCAGGAAGTCTTGGGTTCGTGGAGCCTGAGCAGGGAAACCTTGGACCATGGGTCTGAGCAATAAGTCTTGGGCCTGAGGGGCTTAAGCAGGAAGTCTCAAGTCTGAGGGACCTGAGCAAGAAAGTTTTAGGCTGAGGGTCTAAGAAAGGAAGTCTTGAGTTTGTTGGACTTGAGCAAGGAAGTCTTGAGCCTCAGGGGTTTAAGCAAGAAGTCTCAGACTTAGGGTCTGTGCATTGTAAAAGTATTATGCAGAATGCATATGCGATTATAATCATGATTTGATTATAGTGAAAATCTCTTGTGAAGCAAGAGAACTGGACAACTCTCATTTGGGAGGAATCAATATAAGTCTTTGTGTCTTCTGCTATTATTTATTTGTTTCTGTTATTAGCATTTTGCTGCTAAGTATAACCAAAATCTGAACATCAGTTTAGATTTTGAACTCTGATCAGACGCAAATTAAGAAAACGAAAAACACAATTCCATCCCCTTTCTTGTGTAGTTTTCTCACCTTCAGTCATCTGGTCCCTTACACAGCCTCAAAAACCACCGTACATGGCTACTTGTCACGGTGAGTTAGCCATTTCCACATTCGTGTAATATACCTACTAGAGTCTCTGATTCTCCCAACCCTTGAAGGAGGAACACACACATGTACATTTTTGGACAGTATAGTGATGCCCAATAAAACTAACCTGGGCAAAACATCTCTCTAAAAACCATCATCACCCTTAGCTCTCAGAGTTATCGATTTTGATGCTTTTAACGTTAACGGTGGACCTAGAGGTGGTACATGCTTAGTTAACACTTCAACGTTTAACTCAGTTTAGAGTTTATGATTGAAGGTATTGAAAGTAGAAATTAGAGAATGTGTACCTTAAAACTCTTTATGAAGAATTTTATACTTTAAATCTGGCGGAATAGACAAAGTAATAGGACTGGTGCTATTGGGCGTCTCACCAGTAAAAAATGGCCAGTCCTGGATCTTCGGTCAACACAGAACGACATACATATTAAATAATGTTATTTCTTTGAATTATTTCTGATATTAGATTTTTTATTGTGTAATTTTCAAGGTATATAATGAAGTCATGGTATAAACATATATTATGGTATATATTAAGATAAAACTACAAATAATTTAATCTGTAGTAATAGGTCGTCCACAATCTATCATAATTATTGAGTTTATTTGGAAATGATGAGAATAATTTAGCTTCTCCATACTATTCTTATCCTATAACGAAATGATATTTGTTTCATTTTCCTTAATAATTTACCCTTTCAATTCCCTATAGAAAAATATTCTGTATAATGGGAATGAATGTGAAAGAATTTTTTTCCCTATCCTTAATAAATTATTTTGTTTATACTAGACACTTGTTAGTCCACAAAACACCATGCACACTGTGTTAGTTTGATATATTGCCACACTCGGTAGCCCCCAAAAATCATGCATGATTTGCTTTGGTATATTGCCACACTCGCTAGCCCCCAAAATAATCATGCATGCATTGAAACGAATTCTCTATAAATTGCTTCATACAAGAATGAATTAATGCATCATAACAAATAATAGTAACTGGTTTACTTTCGATCAAACAATGGCTTCGGTTAAACTTGCTTTTTTGGTCGTCTTGTTTGCCACATTCGGTACGTAATTTATCCAACTTTCTTACCATATATATGTTGCATTTCCATTTATGTTAGCTTTGCCAATTGCAGGCATGTTCCTGACAAAGAATGTAAGAGCAGCAAGCTGCAATGGGGTTTGTTCTCCATTTGAAATGCCGCCATGTCGCTCCACAGCCTGTCGATGTATCCCTGTTGGTCTAGTTATAGGTTACTGCAGAAATCCATCTGGAGTTCTGAGGACCACCGATGAACACCCTAACTTATGTGAGGCTGATGCCGATTGTAGGAAGAAAGAAAGTGGGAACTTTTGCGGTCATTATCCTAATCCTGATATTGAATATGGATGGTGTTTTGAATCTAAATCTGAAGCAGAAGACGTTTTCTCTAAGATTACCCCGAAAGACTTGTTGTCCACTGATATTGATATCCAGAAGAAAACCATGTATGCAAGAGATGGTGAACCTATGTACTTTAAATAAACAATCTTTGTTTCCAACATAGGAGTTGGATTTGTAAGATGTCCATCATAATTCCAATAAATGTTGTAGTATTGTAATATATCAAGTTGCTTTCCAAGTAATATATATATATATATATATATATATATATATATATATATATATATATATATATATATATATATATATATATATATATATATATATATATATATATATATATATATATTCACTATTAGATGAAAAACGTATGACTTAAATTTTGGTCGCTCTTGCCGGCCCAATCAAACTCGAGATTCAATTCTAATTTTAAAATGGATCAAAATTTTAAAAAAATATATATATAATTATAATAATTCAAAATGTCACATCAAAAATGTAATTATATATTAATAAAAAAAATCAATTATAATTATTTTGACTTTAAGCAATCTTATTTTTTTAATTAAATGGGTTATTATCATAGCTTTTTTTTAATTGATTTGATTTTTTAAATACTTTTTTTATATTTATTAATATTAAATTGAAAATGTTGAAAAATAATCTCAAAGATTATACTCTATCTTGATACTCACACCAATACTAGAACACTTTAATAAAGTCCCACGCTATCGGATACAGTTAGGATGGGGGAGTTTTCAAATGGTTCAATGCTTCCACTTAAAAGTTGTTCTGGGCTGGGCCCATGTCTGCCCATCCGTCGGGCAGCCACAACCCAATACTATTTAGGGAAGGCCCAAAACCCACAACGTCGGGCACAACTCTAGACACATCGGGCAGGCACCCTGGCCGGTAAATTAGCAAGTGTACTAATTGTACCGATGTAGTAATAAGGGGAAATTTCCCGAATATCGATCTCGCAGACTGCGTATGAACAAAAGTGCTATAATAATTCAATTGAACAAAAAGTCATAGGGGTTTTGGTTTGTTTCTTTAGAATTATCAAGCCAAAAGGCAAAAGCAATAAAATAAAGGTTTTAAACGATTATGAGAAGCATGCTGGAGTAGGGTGTATGAAAAAACCTTGTAATAACCTTAATCCTTAATTTTCAAAAATCACTGCTCAATTCAATCGTTACCGGTTTTAAAGATTAGTTGACTCTAATTACTTAGCAGAAAACCTTTTGGTATTCTCCCTATGCCCCAATTCCTTGGCGGTATAGGAACAATACCAAGCAATATATTTTATCTAAAACATTACGGTAACTATAGGGTATCCCCATTTCTAGGCAATATCTACTATAGTATTATCGTATACACGTGTTAACACTTGTTCTTCCAAACCCAAGGTTAACCGTAAATCATATTCCCATTTGTCAAATAAGAAACGCCATAAAACATTATACGATAACAACGATGATTAGAATGCAGTGAAATATATAATTCAAGAAACCAAAGGTTATTACAGAGTCAATTCAGGGACACCCCCTAGCATTGGGGGGTTTATCTACTCATAATAATAAAAATAAACTCAACAATAAAATTCAACATTACAAGAGAATTGGGTGCTTTGATCTTCAATCGCTTCCGCTCATGAGGATCTTCCGTCCCCAAATCCTTAATCGCTCCAATCTTTATCGTGAAATTTTCTTTTTTTTTGTTCAAAAAAAATCCTTCTCCTTATTAAAAACACGTATCAAATTGTCTCCATTCAAACTCAGTACCAGAGAAATGCCCAGAATACCCTCAGGGTTCACAAGTGTCAAAAATACAAGAAAAATATGTGATGAGGCGTTTCAACCAACACAAGCCGTGTCAGACAACACGGGCGGCCGTGTTGGCTTCCTGACACATTTTTCGCGTGAAATTTCCAAGTCTTAGGTGTCCTGACACGGGCCGTGTCACGTGACACGGGAGGCCGTGTCAGGCCACTGTTTTCCACCAAAAAAACACCTCTTCTGAGCACATCCTGACACGGGCCGTGTCACACGACACGGGCACCCATGTCAGGCCCCTCTTACGAATCTGACTTCGACTCCAACACGAAAGACGTAGCTCTCTCTCTCTCTCTCTCTCTCTCTCTCTCTCTCTCTCTCTCTCTTAGCTTTCCGGCGGTTTTTAGAACGCCTCAAACGGATTCCCAGAACTCCAGTTATGATCGTTTTCGTGCAGACTGTTAAAGATTTTACTTTCAGTAGCCCTGACACGGGCAGTGTCACAGGACACGAGCATCAGTGTCAAGTTGCTGGTTCACAACAAAACTCTTCCGAAGTCTTTCCATTTTCCCCCGATTTTTTCTCTGCTTCTCCTTTATTGTTTACCTGAACCTAGAAATAGTGAAAGTACCAAATCGACGCGTAAAATGTAATAAAAACAACTAAAATGCGACAAGACAAAACAAATGATTAATTGAAATAAACGGTAAAATCACGTGTAAAAACCACTGATCAAACTCCCCCAAACTTAAACCATTGCTTGACCTCAAGCAAAAAGCTTGGATAAATACTTTCAAATCAAACAGCACATCAAGTGAAAGGCTCAAGATGTAAGGCGTGCCGATACTCATAAGTGAGTCTTAGTTCCGATCGGCTCAAACCAGCTCTCTCGGTACTCATCCGTTAACGAAGGCATTACATAAACACATACTGCAGTAAACTTACGGACCTAAATCCTCCTTTCGGCCACCTCTCCAACTATGCTTTGGGCTTAATTCGTTTCTTCAATTTTCCACCCCTTTCATTCGGATAATCAGATTAAGGCATGTACACTTTTGCTCGAGATTTTTTCCTGTGGCACCTTTATTCTTTTTCTCGCTCACAGGTGTTTATTAGTCCACTTTGGGACGACTATAGAGATTCAACCGCCATTAGGCTAAATAACCGGGTGAGGGTTACCCAACTTAGAAGGACAGGTTGTCTTTACCGTCATTATTCAACTCTTTTTGGTGCCACACATCATTCTCAAAATCAATATCTACAATTTTTTATCATGCCGGACTATCACAATGAACTAATCGGGGTATACTTTTAAAATCCAAGTACTATGGCACAAATCTACACGTTGGACTCATTTCCTTACTCTAGGGAACCTAGGGTGTTCAAGCTATACCTCAATTTCCAAACTTTCCCAAATTCCTTAGTTCAAACTCCACTTCCTTTGAACTTTGAATACTTTCTTGACTACCTTACACACCTACCAATCACAAGAAAATTTTTACGGTCTCCGTAGGGGCGAATTCGGTGTGATTTTTACCGAACTTAAAAATAAAAAGGTATTTAAATTGACAATTCAAAACGGTAAAACCTACCCCAAACTTGAACTAAAAATTGTCTCAATGTTCAAGAACAAGAGAGGAAGAGGTGTACTCACAGAGATCCTCACATAGGGGTCGACATGTAATTCAGCACCTCTTTGCTGCTTCCACGTTTTCCCTTGCAAACTCTCGTTATTCCTGCAAAAACAATAACAACAAAAGAAACAACATCGATACTTAAAATCCGTGGGTTGCCTCCCACGCAGAGCTTCGTTTAACGTCGCATGGCTCGACGGTCGACGCCCCATTGTTATGGGGGGTACTTCAGCCTCCACACTCTATTGCTTGACTTCTTCGCAACAAAATATTTGGCAGGTCCAGAGATAAGAGCAACCTGAAGTCGTTTTGATCGTTCTTCTTTCTTAGTTGTGTTGATCTTCCCAACTGACGGTTTAACATATTTCTCCTTACCTTTATTTCTAACCTCGTGAGCTTTTAACGTGATTTCCTCATCAAAACATTTCAAAGTGAGCGTACCTTTTTCCACATCAATATTGCACCGACTAGTAAGAAAGAACGGACGACCAAGTATGATCGAATTCTCTTCATCCTTTGGTATATCCATGATTTGAAAATCAACTGGGTAAGTGAAGTTATCGATTTTCACTAGAACATTCTTTGCTAGCCCATATGCCATCTTAGTTGTGTGGTCGGCAAACTTCAAGCTTGTTCCCGTATCGCTCACTTTTCCAATATCCAGCTTTTTGAAAATAGATAACGGCATGAGACTCACACTAGCACCTAAATCAATTAGGACTTTCTTAAAAGTTTGATCTTTTATAGTACAAGGGATTACAACTGGTCCAGGATCCTTCCTCTTGATGGGGATTTTCTTTTCTTGTGATACTTCCTTACATTGCTCAGTTGTGATCTTCGATTCTTCATCCATTGCTCTCTTTTAACCTATAACCTCTTTCATAAATTTCTTGTACAAAGGCATTTGCTCGAGTGCTCCAAAGAACGACATGTTGATTTCCAATTTTTTGAGCATTGCACTGAACCTTCCAAAGTCTTTCTCTTTCTGATCCTTCTTTGTAACTCGTTGAGGAAACGATAGTTTAATTTTCGGTTTAACCTCCTCTTTCTTTTTCTCCCCAGTTTGTTTTTCAGATAGAACAACTTCTTCTGGTTCTTTCACTTTTTCTCTAACCTCAAGCTCCACCTCTATGCATTCATCCTCATTTGCTTCCTCTTCTTTTGCCATTTTCTGATTTCTGGTTGTGACAGCATTAATACTCTCTTGATTTTTCGGATTCGGTACTGTCGCACTCGGGAGGGTTCCTTGAGTATGTGTTGAGAGGTGTTGGGCTACCTGTCCCATTTGCGACTCAAGATTTTTGATGGAAGCTGTGTTATTCCTTTGAACATTACGGGTCTCTTCTTGAAATTGCATACTTTGAGCTGCCATTCTTTCAATAGCTAACTCCCATTCTGCTTTTTAACGAGCCTGTTGTTGTTGCGGGTAAGGAGGTTGGTTTTGGTCTTTCCAGGAAAAATTAGGATGGTTCTTCCATCCTGGATTATATGTTTGAGAATATGGATTGTTCTACCTCAAAAATTGTATCTCTTCAATTTGTTGAGCAGTAGCAAGACAATGTGCAGTAAAATGGGGACCATTACAAACCTCACAACTCACCGCTTGGATAGGTTGGACCTGAGCTACAGTTTCAGTACCCAAGTTCATTCCCTTAAGCCTTCTTTCCACTCCAGCTTTTATTTACTCTTCCATGTTCACAACTTGCTCCGCTAGCTTCAAATCAATCTTGCC